CTTTCTCCTCCCACCTTCCTCTTCCCCTCCTGGTATCACTACTCTCGTAATTGTTTCCTGGATTCCCTGTGTTTCAAGCTCTGATCTGTACCAGTGTACATGCTCTGATCTAGTCGGATTTGTAAGGTAGAATTGGGATCATGACAGTGGGGAGGGGGCGCGAGGGAAGCATTTAGGAACTAGAGGAAAGTTGTATGTTTCATCGGTGCTGCACTGCACCTTGATTGGCTCGTCTCTTCCCTGTGACCTTTCTGTAAGGAAATGTCCAATTGTGTACAGATGGGCTTTGGTTCTCCCCTCTGAGCTCCCCCTCGTACACATTGATAGGATTCTTTTGTTCTGGGACTTTGAGATGGTAACTCTTTATGGGAGTAGAAAGTCTTGTCTTTCTCCCATGAAGAGGTTGCCAGTCTCGAACTGCTGACCTTGTGGTAAACAGCCCGACATCACCATTGCACCAGTAAATATTACAGCCCAGAGAGCCCTGAGGCAGTCACTGGGGCTGCTGTGAGCTGAACTGCTCAAAGGCACCGGTATAAGCAAGCATGGCCTCAGGTGGCTTCACCTAAAGGCGGCTGTTGGAACCCACTCAGAGGGGCTTCAGAGGAAAAGTCTGGCGATCTGCTCTGAGAACAGTGCAGCAAGCAAACCCGGTGGGGAGCCGTCAGTCCTCCTCTGCCCCAAGCGCTGGAATATGCTCAACCGCAGCGGCGGTGGGGGTTCTTTCTGTTCATTTGCTTTGCTTTTGCTACGGTGGTCAGCCCTGCACTGGGCACAGAGGTAACCCCACCATGGAGGGTGATTTAGTGAATCTCTTAAAACTGCAAATCCCGAGGAGCCAGCCCAGAGAACCCACTTTTTTTAGGTCTACGTGGAGATGCGGTTGGCGTTTTGAACACATGTCTCCAGTATTCTAATGCTGAGGGACCTTCAGCGGTTTGGGATATCCTAACTCTCAAACCCATAGACCAAACTGGCTTACCTCTCTGAGGGGGTCTGTGATGAACAGCCCAGAGGACGGTGTGGTCAACCAGCCCACAGAGGTTTGCCCTGGACATGACTGACCACCCCTGTGGTACCTGAGCCCCTCTGGCTCAGGAAAGCAATGCCAGCTTAGGTGAACATACTGTAGACGGTGTCGGGGTGGAGGGCGTGATCCCCACCCCAGAGCTTCAGCAGCACAAAGCAGTGAGGGCAGGTGACCCGAGCAGCTAAGGCAGAGGTCACAGGTGGGGGACACAGTGAGGAATTTCATTCTTCCCTGCCCCCCTCGACATTGAGCGTGTAATTGCAGGGTTGTACCCCATGTTTGTGGATTTCTCCACCCTTTTTGGTGCCAGAATATACTATCTTAGGGAGCACTTCAGAGCTCACTACTCACTCACTCGATTTCAAGCACAGCAACCCTGCAGCACAGGGTAACCTCTGTCGGCTGGTTGAGCACATGGACTAAGTCCCCGGTGAATCCCCTCTGAGCAGTCATGGGATGTGAAGAGACTGGCTCTACGGAGAGCATCGCTGGTTCAACGGTGGCGGATGCAGTTAGGTTAGAATGTCATTGCCCACCATTTGCTCTCCCTTTGGGCCCATTTAAAAGCCACTTCTGTTTTTAACCCTTTTTGCTGTCTCTTAGATTGTGGTTCTCTGTTTGGTCTGGCCACTGTTGTAGAGGTTTGTTTGTTTGCTTTGCAGGCTCTTGTATGACGACGTTTTGTGTTGTATGGTTTTCAACATGTAAAATCCAGGCCAGGTGGATCTGTAGAGAAGTGGACAGGGGCCTGCCAGGGGAGCATGAGCTAACAACCATGCTTGTGAGAAGAAAATGTTCTGAAACGGACTTTGACCATGACGGCACAAGTCTTCTTAATATAATTGCACGATTGAATTGTATGCCATGTAGAGTCTATGCCAATAAAACATTAGAAAGAAAGAATGCTTCCTTGGCAATCTTCGGACTTGTGACGTCCCCAGGCCTCTCCATACCATGGTGCAGTTGTCGGCAGCACCCCACAAACACCTGCCAAGGATTCTGACCTTCAAGCAAGGGACACTGGCTATTCAGTTCTGTCCCCTCGAGGCCAGTGGTGTGTGATCAGAGCCGTGGACAGCGGCTTGTTCATAAGACATTTCTGTCCACCTCTTGAAGGTTAACTGCTGAGATGGACCGATTGCTCCATATGAAAACGGATGAAAACAGATGTGATGTGATTCTCAGAGTGACCTGGGGTCTGAGGGCCCTCGTGGGCACTGGCTGCAGAAGCTGGAGTCCCATTTGACACCAGAGGGTGAGGTCCTGTGCCCAGTGCGTGGCAGTCGAGCACCGAGCCAGGGCTATTCCAATCATAACCCGAAGCAGCCACATTAAAAAAAATTTTTTTTTGTTTCCATTAAAAACACTTTATTGTGAAATGGGGGAAGGCTTCACAGAGCAGATCATCAGTTGTCCACTCAGCAGTCTGTGCACATGGCTGCGACTCACCCATTCCATTCCTCCAGGGACCAGCGTGCGGCTTATCTCCTCTCCTCTCTGTGTCTGGTTCCAGCCTTCTTTCCCAACCCCCCAACTTTGTGCTCGGCCCAATGCTGCCCTTGGCATCGGCAGTGGTTGATTCTCTAACGCGGGGCTGAGTTCAGATCCAGCCCTGAAGAGTGACTGAGGGCCATAGTCTCCGGGGCCCCTACGATGGAAGTATATTATTATGTTTTCCCCAAGATGAGTCTATGTCACACACACACACACACACACACACACACACACACACGGGCACTTTTAAGAGAGCATGGAAAGATCCCACAAACGTTCACAAACCCCCTCGTGTCTGTGCGTGTGCACAGATAAATACACACACGTGGGCAGGGAGAGAGAGAGAGAAAGCGAGTAGCAGTGACGTAAGGTTAAGCCCTCAATCCCCGGGATTAAAGACTGGCTGGTCTGCTCCCATCAAGATGACAGCCACGCCAGCCCTATGTGGGTGGTTCCACGCGTGTGGGTCAGTCGACTCAAAGGTCCCTAACACAGTAACACACGTTCAGTACTGTGACACCTTTCAAGAAGAGGCTGAACGTTTCCATTTTAAATGAACGCAGTAGCATACTTGATGGCGAACAATGCCCACTTCACCCTGACCACGATGGCTCTTATGAGAAAGTGGAAATGTTGTTTCCAGAAAGTTGTTGATGCTTCCTGGAGGGCTTGTGCTGCAGATTTGCTCAATGCAAGACGGCAGTTGATTTCTTGAACCAATAGCAGTCATGCTCCCGGGGATGCAGGGACTCAGATGCTTACACACTGTGGCGGCTGGGTTTTACATCCACTCGCACCTGTGTGAAAGTGCAGGGGTGGCGCCCAGCCTGACTCAGGTCACGACTTGATGTCTCCTTGGCCTTTTTGTGAGACACTGGGAACTCCCCCACTCCTGCTCCTCAAGGTGACCCCGATGGGCTCCAGAGTGGTTCATGTTCAGAAATCAACCATCAGGCCTTTGTTCCCAGGTGTCTCTGGGTAAACGTGGACCTTCAACCTTTTATATCCGTAACCAAGTGGATCACTGTTTGCACCACGATCGTCTCCACGGGTATGGTGAGGGGCCGAGGCAACAGGGCTTGCCTTGACCGGAGCAGGAGATGTGACGTCCCCTTAGTAGAGTCCCCAGTAATGAAGGACATGTGGGGTGGCAGGACGGACCTGTTGAAGGACGGTAGGTCCTCCAAACGGGAATGTGGAGCAGCTTCACAATGCACTTGTCTTGTCTTCCGTGAGCTGGGGAGCTGCCTGGTCAGAGGAGTCCAAAGCCCTTTGGCCGTGGACTTCACACACACACACACACACACACACACACACACACACACACCCCTTTCCCCCCCTAAATTTAAAAAAAGGAAAAGGAGCTTGTCAATGCCAGAGGAAAATCACGAACACTTGAATAACACAAAGCAACTGCTCGAAAATGTAACAATGTAACATTGTCAATGTTATGGAGACCAGATTCACTGCGAACCTGCATGACCTTGAAATAAACGTGCACACGGGAAATGCTAGTGAATTGTGTAGGTGCCGAGGTGTGCTCTCCAAGGAGGCCAGGGGGAGTTAGGAGGTGGGAGGGGTCCTGGAACAAGCGGCCTTCGGAGAGGAGGCGTTGGCTTAGGAACACATGAAGTGGTGCCCAAGGACGCCTTGTGGGCACAGCATTAAGGAGCCGGGTCACTGAGGGGAACGGCAAGTTCGAGCAGGAAAGATCCGATCAAGGGCTCCAGCAGGATGTGCTTGGGGGACACTGGAGATATTTATAGCAGCAGCTTTACTCACAGAAAGCTTGCTTGTTCCCGAATCCCCTTGTTTTAAAGTTTTATATCATTTTATATTATGGTAGGAAAAAGTGGCCACAAAGCCGGGTCAGGAACTCCTGGGGGTGGGGGTGGGACATGGGAAGGAGGGGCAAGGCATTGCTTTCCTATGAATTACAAAAGGGAAACTGGCCGCCTAACACCTGACCTTTAAGTCACTTTCCCTTGCCCTCCCCTCCGGGCCTTGGAGAGAAGAATGGGCCTTGAGATTCGATTTTGCTGCAAGAAAGTAGAACAAACTCATTTGTTCTGAAGTGAGTGGCGTGAATGCTACCAAACCAAGCCCCACCCCACCCCACCACCGGGGAGCTGATTCTAACTCACAGCGACCCTATAGGACAGGGCAGAACCGCCCCGTGGGTTTCCGGAAGCAGGAAGCCTCTTCTTGCTCCTGGTGAGTCTCATGAATGCTGAAAATAGTTCTGACTGTTAAATGCACTTTTTGTCCCAAGGCATCTCACAATTTCCTAAGTGTCTAGAGACCTTGACCTTCGAGTCCCCCTCCCTGCCCCTCCCCCCAGGATCTCTGTGTCATGCTCTCACTGCCTGCACCATTTCCCAGCAACATGGTGTGAGGTAGGGACTGCACCTGCCTCACACACAGCTACCTGCAAAGCACAGGGAGATTCAGCTGGCACGGAAAAAAACACGATCTGTTTTCCAGATACACGTTTATTTGGGGTTCAAAGGGGGGGGAAAGTATATAAAACCCCATCGTGGAAAATGGTCCCCTTCAGTTCACACGCTTGGACCCTTCAGTGGCCTCAAACAAACACTGTAAAGAGCAAGCAGCAGAAGGTAAACCTGGCGGGAGGAGGAAATACAGGCGTCCTTTCAAGGCCGGCGTAGGTCCTTTGGCTGAACACTTCGCTCTGTAACACAGAACTCCTCCTGAACCAGGGGTACCGCCTTGGCCCATGTCTCCACTCCTCCAGTGCCGCGTGCCAGGCACTGCTTAGCTCCCCATCTTCTGCGGCGAAAGGCAAAGAGTCGTTGGGGTTTTCAGGAGCCTGGAAAAGAGAAACCAGTCTTTCAGTGGCTGGAGAATAATGTGCGCCTCTGGGGCTAAGCGGCTGATAACGGCAGCGCTTCCAGGTGGAGCCCAAAGGAGCATTCAAGAGGAGGAAAGTGGTTCTTTCGACAAGACGGTGATCAATGGAATTCCGTGACTTAAGGACCGAGGAGACCCAGGTACCACCCACTGGTGACCAAGAGTTGCCCTGCGTCCTGAGCATGGCCTTCTGAGCACCCTGAGAGATTCGCACGGGCAGAAAGTCCACGGCTTCCAAAGCTGGGGTCCAGAGACTCAACAGGAAGCCGTGGAGTGCCCACTGCAGGGTTTCCGATGAAGAGTTTCATTTCGGTGGATGTTGCATTAGGTTCTGAAAGGGGCAAGGCCTGAAAAGTGCATTTTGCACTCAAGAGGGCTACTAACTCAGGCAGTGCTACTCACCAGGAGGTTGGCAGTTCAAATCTACCCAGACACTTTGGTAGTAAGATCTAGTGATCTGCTTACAGCAGGCCCCCCGCCATTGCAGACCCCAGGGGGGCAGTTCTATTGGCACACATTTGGTGCTCATAAGTCAGCATCGACTCCAACACACTGGCTTGGGTTGTTTTTGTTTTAAGAGGGGAGTGGCCCTGGACACAACCTATGATCCTTAAAATGTTTTACTGCTTCCTCTCCAAATTAAGAAACTTTGCGACGGCCGGATCTCACCGTGTTTTAGAAGGAGAAGTGAAAACCCAGCGCCAAACAAACAGCGCACCGAAGGCCCAGCCATGTACGTTCGCCAGCCCCGGGGTCTGAGCGAGACCTGTCCCTCAGGGTCTTTTAAGTCGATCATGTGGATGAGCGGAGAACAAATGCATACTGGATCTTACTCCGACATTAGGGCGGTGTCAGAAACCCACAGGAGAACTTCTCCCAGTCTGCTGGGGAGCCTGGTAGTTACACGGTGGGCTAACCTCAAAATCAGCAGTTTGAAACCACCCGCCAGCTCCTTGGGAGGAAGACAAAGCTTTCTACTCCCACAAAGAGCTACGGTCTTAGAAACTCACAGGGGTAGTTCTACCCTGTCCTAGAAGGTCACTGTGAATTGGCAACAGCTCGGTGGCGGTGAGACACTTCATCCTGGCTATAGTACAGAAGTTTTTATTTTTATCAATTTTTAGTACAGAAGTTTTTAATTGCCAGAGGGGTGCTGAGCACTATTTCTTTTTCTGAAAAGGAAGCAGGCAGTAAGCCAAATACGTTTGGGAAGCTATGCTTCAGGGGAAGAATTGGCTGGAGGCTTTTCACTGATTAAAAGGCCCCTTGAGCAGCAAGTTCAGGAGCTCGTGGTGAAGGGGGCAAGGCCAGTTGTTTCCAAGGGAGGGCAAATGTATGTCCCATTAAAGGGCAAGCAGGTGTTGCCTATGGGCTGCTGGGCTGCTAACAGGAAGGTTGGCAGTTCAAACCCACCAGCCAACCTCAGAAAGGCAAGGTTATCCTGCTCCTGTAGATTTACAGCCTCAAAAGCCCTATGGAGCATCCCTATGCCTGGGACCCAACCCCAGGGCTTGGGGGAGGGGTTGGGGTTAGGAGTCGCTTGTAAGTTAGACATCTGTAACCCAGGATCTGCCTGGAAAGGGTGTGTGTGTGTGTGTGTGTGTTATATGAGGGGGCTGCTAAAAAAAATTGTGGAAAATTCCCATCATTTTTCAATTCCCTTTTCCCATGGACCTTTTGAAGGCCTTTCATCTGCACAGAAACCGGGAAGAATTGACGTGTTGGGCCAGGAGTTCAAACTCGGCTGCACCTGAGGGAGCGGTGCACCCCCAGATTGGGGAGGGGTCATGATTGGCTTTAAAATTGACGAGACCATGATAATAGTGGGGGGAGGGGTGGGGACCAGCCACAGCAGACGTTGTCTAGCGTCTGGCCTGAGTTGAGGAACACAGACACGGACAGAAAAAGACCGTACTGTCGAAGCGAAGGAGGGAGGTGTGCATGGTGCGGCTGGCCACTTCGGTGGCCCCGGGTCTGAGACTCAAACGTGGATGAGAGGGGGTGCACTGGGCTCACTGCACTGGAGGCTACTCTTGGAGCAACACCCTGGCAGAAGACCAGGGGATCAGCCCTGTTCTCTTGTATCTTGTGGGGTGCAGGTCTGGGGCTCCACATTTTAAGAGCATTTGTAGGGCTGGTGGACTGAGGAGAGCCCGGCTGTGATAAAAGGAAACTTGCTGTAGTGAGAAGGATGGGGGGAAATGATTCAGTCGTTTGCTAGTTGTTGTTGTTGTGTGTGTGTGTGTGTGTGTGTGTGTGTGTATACAACCTGCTCAGATGATCATCTAGCTGAAAAGTAACTTTCAGTGTCCGTGGGGAAATGCGGTCAGAAGGATAACGTCTCTCTACAAGGATTACGGAGCGCATTTGTTTAGTGCTGGATCCAGCCTGCTGGGGCCCCTGCCTGGAAACAGGATGCCAAGCGGGCACCGAATGGTGAGGACACAGAACGAGCGGAGTGAGGCAACCCACACTCCTGTCCAGTGGACTCCCACGTTTACGACTGTTGGACATCGTGGAGCCCTGGTGGTATAGTGGTTACACAGTTGAGCTGCGATCCTCAAGGTCAGCAGTTCGAAACCACCAGCTGCTCCTTGGGAGAAAGACCGGTTTTCTGCTCCGGTACGCAGTTACAGTCTTGGAAGCTCGCAGGGGCAGGTCTACCCAGTCCAGTAAGGTGGCTGGGGGTCTGCGTTGGCTCAGTGAGTCTGGTTTTGGCTTGGTTAGATAACCGTGACAAGTGCTGCCCTAAAGGAGTCCTGGTGGTCTCGTGGATTACGTACTGGGCCATAATGCGAAGGCCAGCAGTTCAAAGCCACCAGCCACTCCACTGCAGAAAGAGGTTTGGAAAGCCACAGAGGCAGCTCTGCCCTGGCTTATTGAGCTGGAACTGACTCGACAGGAGGGGTTTTCTACAGGCAGCACAGGGAAGGCGTGAGCTGGGCCTGCACTCTGTCTGCGTGCTCGCAATCAAAACACACAACGAGACGGCCACCCCTTCGAGCCGTCCCTGCGTAAGTCGGATCCTGTCCTACATGGGGCTTCACAGGACAGAACCAAGTCAGGCGTGTCTGGATCTTCCGGGACCCTGGCCAGGTGTACTGTGCTCATTCGGACTCAGTCAAGGCTCAGATATATAAGTTTGCATGAGAATCCCAAAAGAGAAGGGGGGGTGAGGACCCAAACCCCACCTCCCCATTCCTCACCCCCAATCCAGTTGTCTATGAACAAAAGACTGGCCGATAATGTTGCAGGATTGGTTTCTTCGTGACAAACGAGCTTTCTAATCAGTTCGATTTGGTGACATCCAATAGAACGAATGACTCACACCCTGTTAGAACAATAGGGATTGCACAACGGTGGGGAGCGAGAGAGCTTGAATTCTGGCGATTTCTTGGCTTCTCAAGTTCCTAGGGCGGCTCCGGTTTCCTCAAGGGCGAGAGGGAGGAAGCGGAAGGAAAGTGCACCATCCGCCAGCCACGCAGCGCAGTGGATTCCAGCCGGCATGTTCCTTTGCAGCCATGGCAGTGGCCCATCTGCTGTCCTCCACCGGAAACTTCCCTTTCCCGTGCCCAGCGCCTGCCTGGCCAGCTGTGGGCCAAGCCTTCACGTGTTGGCCTGCTGCATCTCCGAGCTCGGGCCCTCTCTGCGAGGGAGGAATGGCCTGGAGGCTCGGGAAGCAGGAGAGAATGCCTGCAGGACCCGCGATGGAGGGGTCATCGGGCAGGAATGCTGCCTTTGTACGGCAGCCGCCTTATCTGGAGACACGGAATCTGTTTGCTATTGTTCAAGAGGGGTCAAATGGTGGGTTCTGAACCAACGCCCGCCAAGCCTGGACAAGGGAATGAGAATACCATTTGACTCAATTTCAGATCGTCCAGTTACGCTTTGACCAAAAAGAATTCCTACTAAGTCCTAGCTTTTCAGACCAGATCATGATCCTTTGTGACTTAGTAGGGGGGTGGGGTGGGTGGGTGGGAGATAACTTCATTAATTCCCAAATACCAGTCTGATCCTACAGCTTGGATTGGTTTTGGGAGTGAGTCAATGCCCGTTTAGGCCTGGGATGGATATTCAAAGGGCAGCTTTTGGTTTGGGGTGAAAAGGACGAAAGGAAGCGGAGAGGAGATGGCCTGGCTTGGGTTCTGGCTTCTGGACCACTCAGCCAGGTGGGGTGAGCAAGCTGCTGGCCTCCCCACGCTGGGATGCTCACAGATCCAGAATAAGAGGGACGCTCAAAGCCCCGTGTGTTGGGGTTACCCCTCCCCATCAAGCGACTCACCCTGGGGCCACAGGACAGGCCCTGACCCTCTGACAATTTTTTTGTTTTTGTTGCTGTTGAAAATATACACCAAGACAACATCTTCTCGGGACCTAACCTCTAGACATTGGCAGAGCCTTCTGGGATAAGGCCTGTCTCCAAAGACTGACTGATGAGGCAGGTGCCCAGCACAGCACCTGGAGCTGCAGGGGCACGAGCCATGCCTTCGTCCCCATTCCTGGCCTTGTGAACATGAACATCTGGAGTAACACAGGATTTCACAGTCTGCCTTAAAGATAAGGATGCATCCCGCGGCACTGTCTGAGCTACTCGGAGAGCTAACAGAAATTGACCCAAAAGCTGGAAAAGTACTATTCACGAGAGCGGAGAGGGCTGTATGCATCTCTTATAGAGCAAAGTGACAGACGGGAGACATGTGGTGAATAGGTTCATCAGCAAAGGGGATGTGGCAGTTACAGAATCTGTTGTCAATTCGAGACTTAAGAGTGAAGGGGTGGAGTTTACCTGTCGATCAGGTCGCAGCTTGATGACCTCATTTGGAGGCGCGAAGGAGATAAATAGCTCGCTGGAGAAGGCACACTTGCTCACTCCCTGGGAGACATTTCTGATGAGAAGCCACATGAAGCTACCCTGATGCGGCCAGAGCCCTGGGAGCTGGAGCAGCCACATGGAGAGACCCCTGCCAGCGCTGAGATGCTTACACCACCACTGGATACACAAGACTTCCCACCCACTGTCCTGTGATCTTCCTGCATTCAGTGTCATTGCATGTGTTTCATGAGTCTGAAGAGGACTTTATAGATTGGTATCAGACGCATGGGCTAATATTGGACTTATGGGCTTAATCTGGACTGGGCTGAGATGCTTTCTTTGGATTTGTTTCTCTAGTCTACCCGGACTAACACTAGGGACAACGTCTGGCTTCAGAGGTGTGAGGTGGCTCTCTTCCCCGGCACCGTCACACATATGCTGAGGGACCAAAATAACACTGTGTCATAGCTCGAGGTGATGGGCTTGTGTGTGAAGTTTGTCTCCCTCACCTCCATTTCTAGAGCTTTCTTTCTGAGCGATGAAGAGGATATAAAAATGGGGTGAAAATGAATACCGGCCCAACTGCTCAGCAGGAGGCCCATCAGCTCATACAAACACCACCAACTCCCCCCACACCAAACAACTCTACATCCCGAATCCATGGCACGCCCCACGTGTGTTCCTGACCTTTCTCCCCACAGCAGTGGGTGTTTAGTGTTTGAGTAAGACTCCTACAAACTAAGTGCATGTACACACTCACACACTCACACACACACACACACACATATGCACGCCAATGGCTGGCTTGGAGCAGGCTGTTCGGATCATGCTTGCCTGGCAGGCCCTGATGTGCTGGCCCCAGGCACAAGAAACAGGAGTGAGTGGGTTTGGGAAGGCAAGGGGGTGTTGGGTGGGGGGAGACGCTGTATCCTGCGACCTGGGGGAGGAGATGGGTGATGTAAGGATAGGAAGCAGCTCTGAGCCATTGCAAATTGAGGTGGGGTGTCTGTAGGGAAGAGAATGGGGAGCCAAGTCAGAAGGAACAGGTGCGGCTGCGGTACTGGGTGAGGACCCAGGGGTCCCAGCTGTGGGACGAGCCAGGCTGAGCCCGTTTCTTGAATGGTGAGGGCCAGGAGCACTCCTGCTTCCCCTGCGCCTCCTCCCCCGTCCCCCACCTCCCCAGGTCAGAGCCCTATGAGACAATCTACCTGCTGTGCCCCAGTCCAGAGCTGGCTATCTCATGACTAACTGCACCGGGAGACAGGAGGCAGCTGCCCCTAATACCCTGCCCGCAGCTGGACCCAGTCCAGAGAAAGGACAGCCAGCTGGCCAGCTAGACAGTCTGGAATCCGGAAGGACACAGCCCGACTCCCATGAGGGCCAGGCCAATGCAGGCAGTTGCACTGATCACCTACTGTGCGTCCCCGGCCCCCCCCACCCCACGCCCCCCCCCCGCAGGTGGGGCGTCCACGCTAGGTCAGCCTTGCAATACACATTAGAAACACAAACGAGGATTTGAACGGAAACCAAACAAACTGAAAGCCCACCTAACACGAGGTCCTCGGGAGGCTGCGCTTAGAACAAGCCTTGAACCTGCTCGGTCTCTGTGTCCAGGTCAATGTCGTAAAAGCAGGGTCTTGTGGGTAGTCCTGGCATGGTGCTCATCTGGAGGGGAAAGCAAGGGTTAAACATCAGCAGATGTCACCAACAGACCCGTACAAAGAATTAGAAATGTTCAAGACTCAAAGCCACAGAGCCGCTGGTGTCTGTCTCCCTTCGAGGCAGTTCTATTCCGTCACACGGGTTCCGAAGTGATTTGATGGGGCCCATGCCCCTGTGGTAACCACAGCTACAGTTCCCGGATGACTCCCTACCTGCCTTACCCGTGTTCTCTCCGCAACCCTGTGGGCTGGGTCTCCAGGTTAATTCCATTTTACAAGGCAGGCACAGGAGATTGAAGAGTTAAATAATGCGCGGACTTAGGAAGCTGTGCGTTCCTGGGAAGGCGGGGTTTCTCAACCTGCCGCACCCCCACTTGGTGGCACGCAGGGGGCAGCCAGTGGGCTTAGTACGGGTGCTGAGCAGCCCCCCCCCCCCAGCAGCCTGTCCTTCACTCCATGGATGAGGGCATGGGGCACAGAGAGGTCCAGGCTGCTATGCTCAGTCACACAGCAGGGCAGTGGTGGAACCGGGACTAAAGCCAGTGGCAGGCCTCAGAGTCCACCCGTGGTGTCTGCACTGTGACCACTGGTACCAGGAAGTCCTGCGACCTCGCAGGCTGCCGGCCCGGCCCCGTTGGCACCATCCTCAGAGCCTGGAAAGCACTGGTCCAGGAAGTGGGAAGCAAGGCTCCCAGAGGGTCTGCTCTTTCCCCACCTCAGCATCTCTTGCTCGGTCTGCACCCGGTGCTCCTAAGGCCACACGCAGCCCTTGGGAGCAAAGAAGCCTGCATTTGGCTTAGCTGGGCACTTCCCTCCGCGGGCTCCACGAGATGCAACACCTCTGCGTGCCCCACACAGCCAGCTGGGGGCCATTACATCTTTAATGTGCCCACGAGTGGGGCAGCCTGCATCTCACGGTGCCCAGCCAGGGTTTGCCTCTCCCAGGAAAGATGGCCTAGCAGAAAGGATCGGAGCAAAGACCTAACCACAGAAGCCCGTTCTCCCATCATCTGCCTTCCTGCTTCCTCCGCCCCCTTCTCTGTGGGGCTGAGACACCTGCTGCTGGGCCGTTCTGTGGGCCTCCAGTACCAGCTCCAGCAGCACTGGACGCCCATCAGAAATTCAGAATCTCACACTCAGGTCTCATTGGGAAACCCTGCTTTAACCCAGGTTGCCTGCAAGAGCCGCCTGTCCATCTCACCTCTGGAGGGGGCAGGGAAAGAGGAAAAGCTGCTTTTCCCTGGAAAGAAAGAGAGAGAGATGCCCACCCGCAGGCTCCATTTGCCACCTACTTCCTTGCCCTGCCCATGAGTCAGGAGGAGCTGGGCGGTTTGTTCTGTGTGGCTGACTCCCACAACCCAGTGCTGTGTGGCAGCCAGGCTGTGCTCACTGCACACAAGCCCTTTCGGTGGGCACCCAAGGTTACCCAGGCACCCTAGCTGCAACTCAAAGGCTAAGTCCTCTCCAAGGGGCCTTGGCAGTCAGGAGTCCATACAGGACAGGAGGGACGGAAATCAGGCAGCCAGGGACAGAGTCCTCCATACGCCAGGTAAGCACTGGCAAACTTGTGCTTATTTACGCATCTGTAGTGAACAGTTTCACTTTTTTTTTGGGGGGGGGGGGATATAAAAACAACAACAACAAAACTCACGTGAAGGTGTTCGCTAAAGAGCAGTCAGTAAGCACAAGTAAAACTGTGCTTACCTTGCACACTGAGGACTCTGTCCCTGCCACAGAGGCTTCGATTCTATGCAAGGGAGCTGTGGGGGGAGGGGGGTGGGGTCCAGAGAAGCAGATGCTGGCCACACCTGGAAATCGGACTCTTTGAAGTGGTGAAACACACACTTCATACCAACCAGCGTGCAAGCACCCGGCAGCTTGTGCAGGCCTCCTTCTTGGGTAACCTGACACTGCAGAGCGCCTCCGGGACCTCCTCTGGCTTTGTCAGGTGCCTGCCACGGAGGCCTCCGGCTACGTTACCCAAGGAGCCATGAAGTTGTACCCACCTGTCATGCTGAATGAATGGATTCTTCCACCAAGGCAACACCCCCCCCACCCCCCCACCCCCCGGATATTGTCCTTTCTGACCCTAATTTTGCTTTCAATCCATCTTCCAAATCTTTCCTGATTACAGGTTAATGTTCTTTATGAAAAAGGATGAGTTCCATTCAGAGCCTTTGTGAACACATGCATTAAAGGCCAAGGATGAGAAAACATGCACGTTCTAGGCCTCCGCAGAAAAATGATTACAAGATCTTATTTTTTAAAAGCCTCTCTGATTTCATAAAGGAATGGCATCCATTTTATGTTGCACGGAAATCTCACTGCAATTCCCTTTGTGGGTTGTAGAAGGATGGCTTTTTCTGATTTCACGTTTAACCTGCTGCTTCCTCCCACTGAACAAATATCCAGCTCGACGCTGGTTCAGGGAAGCAGTAGCCCTGTTGCTTTCTTCAGCTCGCGAGGAAAACCAGCTGGTGCAACCACGACCCAAACCCATGGTGTCCCAATCATGGACGCCGAGTACAGAACTGGGACAGTTCTACCAACTTTTGCCGTCTGACGCGGATGAAATATCCAATGGTGATGTATTGATAACCAGGGGTCATTAGAAGCAAAGAAGGACCAGGAGTTGGAAAATATGGCCTTGATTGATGGCGACAGAAAGGACACAGGAGAGACGTAACAAAACAAAACAAAACCAAAAAACCCCCCAAAAACCTGTGCTTTAGATTTGGACATCTTAAAAATGAAGTTTTGGCCTGATTGGCTAATCTAAACTTCTCCCATTCCAGGTAAGAATCTGCTGCTTTGCTTGTTCCCTAGCTAGAAATCTGTGGTGTGGGGGCTCAGGACTGTGGGGACGCTTATGTGGGGGGACAATGGCTTGTACTCGAAGCCTTTGGGGCTGCTTCACGGATCTTAAAGAGACCTTCTGTGGCAGTCACATTATCTCATGTCCACTTGAGGGCATTAAGAGTGGGGGGGTGGAGTCTGGCCTGTCCATCAGGCCACAGCCTGTCACAGCCAGCCACTTTCTCTTTCTCCCCGGAGGCAGGCTACACACTCTCTGCTTCCTCTTTCTGTTGATGAACCACTTCAAGCCACACTGTTGGCAGCCAGAACCCTGGAGTTCCACCACCATTGGATTTACAAGATGTTCCACCCACCGGCCTGTAATCTTCCTGCATTCTGCATCATTGCATGTGGCTGTGTGGGTCTGAAGAGGGATCTATGGATTAGTATCGGACTTGTGGGCTAATCTTGGACATATGGACTTGATCTGGGCTGGGACATTTTCTTAATATACAATTACTCTTTGATATAAGGTTCTTTCTAATACATATGAGTCTCTCTGGATTTGTATCTCTAGTCAACCCTGTCTAACACACCTCCCTAATAAATGTATGTTAAGGTTTGCCACATTGAAATGTTCCTGACATCTGGTACAAATAAAGCCTTGTCAGTTCAAGAGTCTAAAAGGAATGGAAACATGGCCGCCTTGCTGTAGATGTGAGATGCCACGTGGGGGAACGATGCGTGGCCACCCCACAGTGAACGGTTGGCTAATTTGTAGAATCTGCGAGATTCTACAGAGATCGTACAGAATTGTACTCTTAATACCCAAGCTAAGGAGGTTTTGTGTTGTTTCCACTTTGGGGTTTTTCTTTCTTTTAATCTAAAGGCAAATGTGCCCAGGACTTCAAAAACGCAAACAGGGAAATCTTGGCTGAAGCCAGCGTGGCGTCTGGGGATTCAGACTTGGGTGGTCAGCATGTCCTCATCCAGTCACCCTCCACTTTCCTCTTTCTAACTTGTCTGGAAGATTCCTGTTGCACACATCTAAGTGAAAGTAACAGCAAATGACGCAAGAGATCACAGTAGAATTCTGTGAGACCAGTGACCCATTCATTGGAAATGCCATTTTCAGCAACATGACATGGATGGCAACTATACACGTGGCCTTCTCCAGATGGAACGTGAGATGGACTAAATCTGCAGAGAGAGATGATAGGAAAGCTCAGTAGCACCCATCAGAACAAGGCCAGGGGCTGAGTGTGGAATAGACCATCAATTGCTTGTGTGCATATTCAAGTTGAAGCTGAAGAAAATCGAAACAGGTCCACAAGGGTCAAAATATAACCCTGAGTACAGTCTATCCCAAGAATGGCTTTCACACACTAAATACAAATTACCCAAGAGCAGAGAGGCTGTGGGATAGCATCAAGAACATCATACAGTAAGAGAGCAGAAGATCATTGGATACTTGGCATGCCTCAAGCTGAAAGAACCGAGAAACCAAACCAAACCCAAACAAACAGTCCCCCCAAATCCCAAGCCTCGAGTTGCAGCACTGGAAGATCCCACATGGACAAAATATTGCACAATGCAGAAAACATAACAGAGGATGGAAGGGGTACACAGTTCCTGGACCAAAAAGAGTTGGTCAGCAATTAACCCTTTCAGGAGCTAGCATGTGATCAAGAACCTGTGGCATCGAAGGACCAAGCCAGTCATTGAAGGAAGACGCCAATGTCACACTGATGACACTGGCGAAACCAAGGCTCCAGAAATCAACAGAACACCAACTGCGATGTTACAGCAAACGTTGCAACACCACGAGACTCACGCATGCATGCCGAGAAAGCAACGCGGCCGAGACTCACGCATGCATGCCGAGAAAGCAACGCGGCCGACAGACTGGAAGAGATCCATATTGGTGCCCTTTTCAGAGAAAGGTGACCCAAAGGAATGCAGAATTTACTGGGCAATATTAGGAACACGCGGGATACAAAAAGACTCCACCAGCTCCACTCCCCCAAATATAGATGTTAGACCTAGGACACTGCTTGCAACTAATGGTGAATGATTGTCAAGTTACCTCCCTGAAGACTCCAGCCTTCCAGAGCAAGCAGACACCATTGTTTCTCCCAAATAGGCAGGGCTCACTCACTGCTGGTAGGGACAGTGGATGGCTTCCCCTGAAAGCTTAGGCTAAATCAA